CTCTTGTCCGGTCTAGCAGATGTAACCTCGATATCAAGGGTGAAGTGAAAAGTGGAAGTTCCCTCAGCCCCCCCTGGTTGTATGTGTGCTTAAATATACAAGTCCTCTTGTAATAAGTTGTTCTTGCTCGTGCAGACTGCCTGCACTCTGTATGATCATTGAGCCTTCTCTGCGCAGAGAAAATTCTTTGTTTCAGCACCTTTAAAAGATTCGCGGTTTAGCGGGTATAATAATTTCCACCACACTGGTCACTGTGTTGCTGATGAAAGGTAAATATAATTTTTTATTCCACAGTTCAATATGTGCAAGACAAACTTGTTGACAAGAAAAATTATATTTCAAATAATATATATTTATTTTTTAGTTTTTTCTGCCGCAAGGACTAAGGAAGAACAAAGAACTGTTCCAACTTTTTACCCTATCTAAAGGTTTGTTTTTTGTCTTACTCTTACTTTATTATCCAGCTGATTAGAGTTCATGCAGGGCTTTTATTCTGTGGCTGTATTGCATCTTAGCTTCAAGGATTGATATGCAGGTCTGCAGTACATAAAAACTAAATTCATAATGACTTATTTTTACCAGTATTTCAGTCTTTTTTTCTCCACGATATTTCTATGGATTTTTACAGAGCTTGTGAAGTCTAATAGACTTTTTTAAATGCTCTAGTTATCTTATTTTGCATAATATTTAAAATAAATAAATAATGGTTTTGAAGAGGTTAATAGCTTTCATTGTTTTCTGCTCTTAATATAATTTGATAGCAATGGTGATGCTACTACACCAATTGTCTCGCAAAATGTATTTGCATATGGAACATATAAATATGTATGCTGCTGCTTTCTGCTACTGTGTTTGCTCAGACAAACAAGCGTTACAAGAAGTTTATAAACCAGCATATTATCAACAAGATGAGTGAAAACAGATGTGACCAGGTGATAGGAGAACGTAACATCAAAACCATCGATAATGAGTGTAAGGAGACCAATACCTTCATCCTATCCACCACCAAACCTGTCGGAGCCATCTGTGGGAAGGCAGGAAAGCCAATTGGTCAGATGAGAAAAAGCCTCCAACCCTTCGTCCTTATTGTCTGTAAACTGAAAAACAATGTCAAGCCTCCACATTGTCAGTACAGCGGGAAGCGACGCAACAGATATATTGCAATCAAATGTGAGGACGGCTTTCCTGTGCACTATGACGGAGACATCGTACACTTTGAAAACTGACTCAACAGTGACCGTGTTCTTCAGGCTCTTGTTAAATAAAATACATTTGACCACATACTGTTGTCTGTTTTTTTTTTAAGCAGTCATGTACAATAATTCAGTGTAGATGTGAATAATATTGGAAACAAGATCACTAACAATGTTTACATTAGTCATTGACCTTTTGAAATAGGGGCTACTGTTAAAGCTAGTGAAAAAAGAATGTGCTCTTTATTAGAGCTGTTCAGTTAGCAATAATAAGATGTACACGTTTAACGTGTTTTTAAAAATGGACATTAGCTATTGGTTTGATTGTAAAGAACAAAAATAAAGCCCTGGTACAGAGACTAGATTGATCCGACCTGTTGAGCACATAAAATACTTTTTGTTGCAACTTCTTGGTCTTTTTTTCTCATTGAAGGCTGAAATATAATAGACTTGGGCAGTACAAGACAAAAACAACTAAGGACCGTCCATTGCTACACTCACTGATTTTACAAACTGACTCAGATTGCCTGTATCCTCCGTTAAACAATTCACCAGCACAAATGTGATGTGGGGGACCAGAGGCTGAACAGATACCTCAACTAAAACCCGCATTGTTTGAGCATAGATGTCTTATGATACTGAGATTACATGAATGTTTGCAGTCCACAATTTAGAAATTGAACCAGTCAACAAACATTGTGGTAGGTTTGAATGAACCTGGACCAGAAGATGGCAGCAGAGTAAAGAGAGAGATGTGTTAACAGAACAGATTCCCTCGTTGGAAGGCCAGAAACTAACAACCAAAGTCAACATGGGAGATGCATTTAGCACATATTAATGCAATGTGCTACTATAGAGAAACAAAAATACTAAAGAAAACACAGGAAGTTGCTTCACTCAAAAGTAAGTATATACACACACCTTGTAGTTGCATCTTGAGTTTTCACTATTTTACCTGTAGTCCAAACTAAAGGGAATAATTCAGTGTTTGATGCATGAAACCTGGTTTTTGCTTGTTAGGAGCCTCTTTGCTTCAGGCCGTGGGCAGTTGACAGTCATACACTAACTCACTCCAAACCACACAATTTAAATAGACAAAGTTTCGATCACAGTCAGATTTTGTCTGCCCATTTTTTCCCCCTATCGCTGCACTCCCAAGTTGGTACTTTGACCTTCAATACACAGCGAAGAAGAGGATAGTTTAGCCTGACTCATGATGAATGAAAAGATCATCCTCTGTGAATCAGAATGGGTTTCAGTTTTCTTTTGTGTTAAAGTGAATCTTGTGAATAAAAAAAAAAAGGCTATTATTGTGTAAAAGGCCTTAGGTGCGTCAAGTGTCCAAAATCCCGTGAATATTGTCACTCCTACTTTTACACTGTGACAACTAAAAACGACACCACACAGGAAAATATTTAATTGATAGAAAACATATTTTAATGTTGTAATTTATCTGCCTCTTCAAAGGTTTCGAACATTTTTTTTTTTTATGATCCCACAGAAGAGAGCAACGGCAGAAGTTAGTCTCTGAATGTTTTTGGAAATCTAATGCAGTGTTTGAAATGAATATTCTTTCGGTTGAGGTTATATTTAGGATACAAACGGTTTTCAAACCACACTTCTGTGCGTTTTCCTGACATGCAATGTCGAAACCAAACTGCTGGTGATGTCATGTGTGCAGATTGTAAAGACTTGGTTGTGAGCATTTCCACTTAGGTGGAGAACTACAAACCAACGTGATGACAGACCAATCAGATTGTTCTGAGATTGTTCCCTCCTATTTGACAGTCACATTAAGACTAATCGTCCTGCAGTATGATCTAAATTAAATGCCGTTTCAAATGGATTAACCAGAAAATGCTGATCATATTTTGCGTAGCTTTCGTGTTCCCAATTGGGCGTAAGTATGCGTCCAAAATTCAGTTTCACTTCTGTTATGTTTCAACTATTGTCACCTTCTTAGGGTAACTTTGGCGTAATTGTATCGCATGCAATTTGTTTTTTTCAGGATGCACAGACCACCAAAGCTTTGTGACAAAGACTGTTTGTGTTGGAGAAGATGTGACTCTAACATGCAACCGCCATTCTTCATCGACGGGATACTTATTTTGGATCAGACTTGTTGTTGGAAACTTCCCTGAAATTTTAGCATCCACTTATACTTTTGATAATTACAGCGTTTTTAAAACTCGTCGCTTTACAGCAAAACAAGGACCCGGAACATTTGCTCTACATATTACCAAAACAGAACTCGGTGATACTGCATTTTACTACTGTCACCAAGTGGTTGAACTACAGACAACGTTTTTCAATAAAACCTTCCTGAGAGTCAAAGGTAAATTAAGCAATATTCACCTTGTTCATACCCAACATTCACTTCCTACTGCAACTTTTAACTATGTGCTGTTCTGTCTTTCATTCATTACTATAAAAAGTTATTTATATAATTCAATCTTTAGTCAATCTTTGACATCCTGTGTGTCCTTACTGTTCATACTTATTGCTATATAGGGTTTATCATGTAATAATCCACTAAGGGAAGGTTTGTGCTATCATTTGGTTTAATTCATATCTTTGAAAAACTACGTGAGTGCTTGCAACACACTTTTTATATCATGGAAATACATAAATATTGTTTTCCTATTTATCCAGGACCAGAACCTGATATCACTGCCGTCATACAAGAGCGTACATCTGATCCAGTCTGTCCAGGAGGCTCCGTGACTCTGCAGTGTTCAGTCCTCTCTGACTCTGAGAAGAAAACGTGTCCAGAAGAACAGAGTGTGTACTGGTTCAGAGCCGGATCAGATGAATCTTATCCTAGTGTCATTTATGCACATGGAACCAGTGATGGATGTGAGAAGAGTCCTGAGGCTCACTCTCCACAGAAATGTGTCTACAGCTTCTCTAAGAACGTCAGCTCCTCTGATGCCGGGACGTATTACTGCGCTGTGGCCACATGTGGAGAGATATTATTTGGAAATGGAACCAAACTGGATATTGAAGGTAACCATCATTTTGCATATTTAATCTACTAAATCAGCTTCAATTAAATATCTATAATCTTACCAAGAGGCAAAATGGGTCTTTACAAAATGAAAGATTAATGATGTACTTTTACACCTTGTTAACTTGTATTGTTTGTTCTTAATATTTCAGACTCCAACATGTCGTTTGGCGATTGTCATTGGGCCAATACAATTCTGTGTTTGTCTTGTGCTGCGTTGGCTATAAGTTTGATTGTTATAGCCTTACTGATATACGCCATCAAGAAGAAAAAGTGCAATTGTTGTAATGGTAATAAAACTAACTTCACTCTATAATTTAGTTAATTTTACTCGATGAACATTAGTGCTGTTTCTTTAGTGTTTCTATCATTCATTTTCAAAATAAAATGAAATCCCATGCATTAGTACAGTACATCCTGATTATTATTCATGGTTTATCATTTTATTATCTAGCTGCTGCCCTGCAAACAAACGCTGCAACAACAACGGCTGATCAGCAGGTGAGTCATTTTAAAGATAAGATTTAGTTGGTACATTTATGTTGACATAATGTTTTACCATATGTTCCTACAGGCAGATGAAGACTCGTTGGTTTATTCTGTAACAAACTTCATCAGAAAGAAAGCTGACAGAAGTTTGAGAGCTGAAGTCGAGGAAGAGAGCATCTACTCTGATGTCAGGGTTTTGGGATAGGAACAGCAACATGTACACCGAAGATAAATAATGTTTGTTTAATGCTTGAGTGCTACACTAAGTGGCAGATATTTAGCAAAATGATATGTGATGTTATAAGACAAATGTGTCAGTTACTGTCTATATTTAGATGAGATCCTTTTGTCTTTTAGTTTTTATTTTATTTCTGTATGTTGTTTATCTTTTGTATGTAAATGTTAAGCTCTTATTTGGAAAGTTTATATTAAAGCTTTCTTTTGTGTGTCAAAGTCACTTTGTGTGGCCAACCATCTACTGTGATAGGTGACTATTGCATCTGCTACAAGTACAACATGATGCCTCTGCCCCTACGAGCTGGCAGTCATCATTTGCACAACCACAAGACGTCGATGTAAAAGAGAACATTGTTTTAAGCATTTGAACAAAGCACTGTTGCTGTGTCCCTTGTGGTGCGGTTCATCCAGGCTGCTGATGACAGTCATTTCAACTCTGGCACAGACGAAACAACTGCACTAAGAAGTGGGCTGAAACCTTCCTTTCCAAATTGTCTGAAAGAAAAGAAGTTTAAGTCGAATGTGTGTTGTGTGTTGAAAAGGCAAAAATGGTTCATCCACAGGATTGACACACATCCACTGTCACAGTGTTGATACATTGATGTGATTTGTCTGATTATTTAGGATCATTTGGTAACCAAGTTAATATTCATCAGGTCGAGTGTGGGTATTTCCCCCAATTCTCAGAAAACGAAAATGGCTTAAAACCGTTTCTTTGGCTTGTTTCCCATGTCATACATGCAGCCATTTCCTTACTGAAAGTGGGTTAAGAAGCAACCACACTTTGCATTTTAGTGCTGCTATTTCACCATCATACTCAGATACATAAAGCTTTGTCCAGACTGAAGTATCTCAACAACTAACCTTGAGGGTTACTCTTCAGGCTTTCACAAACATTAGCCTCAGAGTGAAATTGATCATTTTTGTATATTTTTTTTATTTAATCCATTTTCAGTTTCAATGTGCCCAAATTATAGCAGACCAAATAAAAAATAGTTTTGATGAGAACCGTGTATGAAGGAGTGAATTTCTTTTTGGTCTTGAGAGCACATTCTGTATGTTCTCTTTGGCCCAGATGTCCATCGGTCATCTGCAGAAGTCCAAGTTAGTCTGCTCTCACTCATGCTATCAGACTTTACCTGTGTCTATTTAAACAAATGTCCGCGCAGGCAGCCTGTGTTTCGGTTAACTTCCTGTAACTTGGTCAGATTATGTTCTCACAGTAATTAAACTGCAATAGGGTTCATTTGGAAATGCTCAAGACCATCTCTAGCAAGCGGTCTTAAACCAGTTGTTGTGGTCTGCACCAGAGCACGATTACTACATCACAACAGCCCAAACTAACCTCACCAGAGTTCTTTTATAACAGACTACGTGTTGGCTTGTGACAGAGACCTCAATGACTTTAGTGACGCCCTGATTTCTCTTGCTATCTTTTTCTTGCATCACTGTGAGGTTGACATTTTTGTCTTATTTGGCTGTTTTGACAACTATACATATATTGCATAAAATGTGTTTCAGATATTTATTGTCCTAATGTTGGTGATCCCTTGACTTTTCATCTAGTCAGCAGGTCGACGTCTTTACTTTTTACAGAAACGTTATAGAAACCAACGTAGGAGGGAAATATCCTAAAATATATATATATATGTGTGTGTATATATGTATATTACACTACTAAACTGCGTTTTAATGTTTTGAAAAAAAATGGTTGTGCTGCATTTTGGCATTCCTGTCCTCAATTTGAACAGACCACAAACCACAAAAGTCTTAAAGTTGCATAAGAACATTGTGACAGGAAGCATAGTTTTAAACCCTCCCTCCTGTGAGGGTCTGACCCGTTACCACCGTCCTATATCATCACCTTTACTTTTTGAAAACCCAACGAAGGTCCTAGCAAGAGACATCAGGATGATCGTCTTATGCATTACTCTGCTTCTTCTCCATCAAGGATGTAAGTGCTATCCTACTCTGTTCCAACTATTCACTATGAGTGTTTTGTCGGAAAAAAGTTCAGATAGATAGATACTTACTTTATTAATCCCGCAAGGGGATTTATTACTTATTAGTCGTAAGCAAAGTATGGCCACCTTTCTCTTAACAGTTGATCTGTAATACAAACTCAAACCAACTTTATATTTCTAGCTGTAGTTTCAGAAGTCAATGTGTGTATATAATATGCATGTAATACATAGTTTGTTCGAAGACATTATTCATATAAATCAAGATTATTATTTCAAATATATACTCTCCATTGTCTTTTAATACAGATGCAGAGATCTCAGTGACCACAGTTCAACTTGGCGAACCTGCAACCTTCACATGTGTTTTCTCTGATTCGCATTATAGCAACACACGAGTCAAGTGGTACAGACAGAGAATTGGTGATACTCTTACATTAATCACGACACTGATGAAAGGCACTGCACAACCTACGTTTGAGCAAGGGTTTCACGGCTCACAACTTTATGCAAACCATACGGAAACCATGAGCTCTCTGACCATTTTGAAGACAGCTGAAGAAGACGAGGCAATGTATCACTGTGCAGTCACTACCTGGAGTAAGGATCAGTGGAGTGGCACATATTTGTCTTTAAAAGGTAATACATGTCTCTGAACTGTCAGTAATGTGTAGAATCACAAATATCGGATGTTTGGCGTCGTGACACTTTGTTCATTTACAACTTCAACATCTATTTTGACATTTCTATCTTGATGGTCCAACTCTGCTTATGAATTCAAGGTGATACAGACGACTTTTCACATTTTCCACTTTGGTATTTTGTAGGAAACACTCGGAGGATGAGAGACTCTACTGTTGTTCAGTGGCCGAAAGTATCTGATCCAGTTCATCTCGGAGACTCCGTGACTCTCCAGTGTTCGGTCCTCTCTGACTCTCACAATAAGTCCTGTCCGGGTGAATACAGTGTGCACTGGTTTGGAGTCAGAACAGATAAATCTTATCCAAACATCGTGTACACTGGAGGAAATGGACATGATGAATGTGAGAAGAGAACCGACACTCAGAAGAGTTGTGTTTATCGCTTCTCTAAGAATGTCAGCTCCTCTGATGCTGGAACTACTGTGCTGTGGCCACATGCGGGGAGATATTATTTGGAAATGGAACAAAACTGGACATAGAAGGTAACTATCATTTTTTAGTTTCACCGGTTGTCTCCCTTTTAGTGCCACCGTAAGTGTTTTTAAAGTTGAAAAATATCATACACTCTTTGACAGCATGATATACTGTATATAGTATATTCGTTTTTATGGCAGCAACATTCCATCGAATGAAAATATTCTAGATATCTTCGGCATCATTTTACACACCGTCATATTTGGTATCTTCCTATCTTAATGACAGAATTAAGTTCTGTGGGGTTTAACAAGGTTTCTCTGCACATAAGTTAATAATTACCAACCCACTGCCAAGTCTGTGTGGTAAATTAGTTTAATATGGAAATTTGCATATTTAAGTGTTAGTCTTGGTCAGAAGTCAAAGAATAATCCAT